CTGTCTCAGAATCTGTCTACTTCACTTCACCTTCAATTACAAATTTCCGATCAAAATTTCCAACAAAAAGAAAGAAGAACTTTAAGGAAAATAAAAGGCAATCGATCACAGTGTAAATTCGCGAGATATGAAGCAACACAGGACGCTGATTCAAGAAGAAGCATTCAAAGTAAAATACCCTGAGACAGCTCTCCATAAATTCCTCGATCGTTATTATGCCATCCTGGTTTAGGTCGAATTTCTTGAACACTCTGTCCAACTGTTCCCTCGCTTTCCTCTCCTCCTCGGCGTGATGCCGCCGACCCATAAGCTCGTGCACCGCAATCACCACTTCCCACAGCTCGCCCCTCGTGATACATCCATCGCCGTTTATATCGTACAGTTTGAAAATCCATCGTAGTTTCTCGTAGATGCTGCCTCGCAGCAGAGTCGATAAAATCACCAGCAGATCCTGCGGGCCAAAACACCCAACGTTAGCGTTACGCAAACGTACCGTTTCCAAGCGTTTCTCCTCTCCTTCTTCTCTTCTTTTTTGAATTGAACCAGACGTAGAGAGATATATATAATACCAGAGAAAGGAAACTATAAAGACTACTTTACAGTTAATAGCAACGCAGCGTGTTGGAAAATTTGCACAATTTTGGAGAAAGAAAGAGAAATCGAAAGAGAAATGTGAAGAGACGGGAGATGAGTCGAGTTGAAGAGAGTTTGAATGGCGCAAGGAGAATCAATTTATCGTCGTTTCGTTTCAATGTGTAAATTCAAATGTTGAAAGTTGAACCGATCGAAAGACGACCTCGGTCGATAAACAACGTGCAAGTAAAAAAACCATAGATATTACCCTGAAATTCATGGCGCCATTGCAGTTGACGTCAAAGGCCTTGAACACGTAATGGGCGTAAAGGCTAGAATCTGCAAAATTTCAACAATTTCATCTCGACTTTGTTAAAAATCCAATTTAATTGCAAGAGCAAAACCAGCCAAAATATATGATGATAACTTACTGCCGTGAGGGAAGAATTTCGCGTAGATATCCTTGAACAGGTCTTCGTGCACCACGCCCTCGGGACATTCCTGAAAATACACAACACGTACCCTGCATGTCATCATCATCATCGAGATGAATTCAAGTACGTTTCAAGTACGTTTTATTTGGCAAAGGAAAATTCTATTCTATTTAATCCGGTTTAACTAGTTTCTTTTACTTTACTTTTAACAAGTTTCATAAGTTTTTTACAAGTTTTTTCTTGCTACTTAAACTAGTAGTATAGATATAAAATGGAAGAAAGAAGGGGAAAGATCTCGCGTCGCGAGATCTGTTCGCCATACGATAATAATACGTAATAACGTAATAATAAATGAAACACGTATCAATTCGTTGAACGTAGAGACTTTCGACTAAATATACAGACTGATTACAGTCGATTACGATTACAGGTCTGTAGGTACTGGCCTGAAGCAGGTTACGAAACAAGACGATCAAGATGTGGAGGAAATTAGCCAGGAAATGAGGATGCGCGTATTTACATATTTATGAATCGGATGCACCGAAAGAGAAGCAACGAAAATGAAAATTCCGTACACTATACCCAAGAACGTATTCGAAGCTTACAGGTAAAAAAAACTTTTCAGAAATTTTCTCCACATTCGTTACGTATTTCTGAATTTCAGTCAGTCAGTCAGTCAGTCAGTCCTCTAACCAATCTATCCGTCTTTTAATTTTTTCATCGTTGACGTTGCTAAACCTTCCCGACGTCTGTCACAGTTTCTCTTCATTCTTCAATTTTCTCTCGAAATAATTACAACTCTGCCAATTTCTCCCAAACATCCCAAACATCTCTCAAATTTGCGTCTTCTTTCAATCGGCGACTTGAAAAAAAAAAAAAGAGAAAAAGATGTTGAAATTAGTAGACGCCAACTCGTTTAGTTGGGTTTCGAGACAAATAATATTCTTAACGAAGATACGTGCGCGGATATGTTCAATTTAATAAGAAAAAACGTTTTTCGGAAGATGCTCGGAAGAGACGAGGCTGTTAACGAACGAGGTCGATCGAACTGTTCGACCGGAAGACGTTTCCTGGGACGAAGAGAGAGTTCCGAGCTTAAAGACCCTGGCTGTTCGTGTCATAGCCTCCGCGTGGAAGAAAAATCCGATACTCGAGGAATTACCGACATGCGAGGATAGAAATATGCTGATGGAAATTCTGCCCACCGACCTGCCCTTCCACTCCACTATAAGAAAAATTGACAACGAGTATTATTGGGAACGTTGCTCAAAAGCCAGGTGAGTGCGTTCAACAGAGTTTACGTGCGAGATCAGCAGAGAGAATCGAAACACACCTCTTCTTCACACCTCACAGTCACGCTTTATTAACTTTGTTTGTTGCGTACATTGTCGTCAATGTTGAGAAAAAGAGATTTGGTTGGGATGCCTTGCACCATCAGCAGCTTGGCTTTAATTTTTTATAATATACTGCTGCACGATCACGTATCTACTGTATCTATAGATATATACACTTTATCCAGCATCCAGCAGCTTCCATTTATTTGGCTGTGGCTGTTTTGAAAAATTGTTTGCCCAGTCGCAGCGCCAAGGCTGTGTGTGTCAAAGTTGTGCGTCACCGTGTGTCGGCGAAATACACTCGTCGGTGTTTCGAAGAAAAATTCAAACGGAAGAGTATCGTTTTATCGCGCCGGGAAATTATATTGGAATTATTTCAGATGGCAGCACAACGATTGCGCCAAACACGGCAATTCCTGGCGACGACGTTACTGCGAGGGTGCTGTCCGCGAATATTTGGAGAAGCTCGAGCCAACTTTCTTCGAATCGCAGAAGCAAGATTGTGAAAATACGATTGCACTCGTGCGCGATTACGTGCACACGCTGGAACTACGTTCTCTGCTACCGACCAAGTAAATCTCGAATCCCTAAAATCCCCCTTCGATCCCTCTGCCACCTCTCCCCCCTCCCCCCTCCCCCATCGCAGACAATTTCTCGTCCTCATTCTACCCCAGGATGAAAGATGCAAATATTTGCAAAGTATTCGTATTGCAAGGGCACGTAGCTTTGCTGTTGAAGCAAAAATTCGAATCTTCCTTGCTGGAGTAATTGGAATTTCTTGCGTATACACCGTGTACATATACATATA